CAGTGAGGATTACCCGAAATAGCACAATCATTGCTGCTGGCCACACCTCATCTGTTGACGTCAGCTCCAAGGCAGCTTCCCAGGTTGTCCCTTCTCACCACCTCCGTCAGCACCTGTTCACCCAGGTGGCCATTTCCTCTGGTTCAGAAGGGCGTGTGAGCCTCCCGAGGGCATTCATCCCTTGCACAATCCATCCAGTACCCCACAGCGCAGTCCCCCCACAGTGTGAGTGCGGCTCAGTGAACCCCTGTTCAAATAGCCCAGTGGCTCCCATCTCCCTTGGAACAGAACCTCAGCCTCCTGGGACCTGCATGGCCTGGTCCCTGCCTGCTTCTCCTTCTCCCAGGGTCCTTCAGCTGACCCCTCCCATGCTAAGTGAGACCCCTGCGAGCCCCTCCCCTGGAACCCTGCTCATTAAGGTGTGGGACCCAGGGTCACCGCTGCTGTATTTGAATAGCTCTGACTCCGGCTCCCAGGACACGTGTGCTAGGAGCCAAAGCAACTGTGAGTACCCTGACCTCTGGTCCCGGGATCCCATCCTCCTAACGATTTCCATGGCAACAGCGCCAGCCAGCCAAGGCTGAGGATTCCCTTTCATGGGCGCCGGATGCAGAGATGGGGAAGAAGGACTTTTAGAAGAATGGGGCTCTTTGATTCCACACGAGGAGCCTTCGTTAGACACCACTATTTCCCAGGAACCACATTTTAACCCTGCAGAGGGAGACTTCCCATGAATACTTAAAAAAAAAAAAAAAAGGGAAACCAAACCCCCGTTATTCCAGAACACTGACCTGTCAGAGGTTCGGGAGGCCTGGGTGCCATGGTGTCAGGAACATTCTGGTAGAAGGTGGGCAGGGCACTGCATGGACGTGAGGGGTGTGGCCAGTGGCTGAGGGCTCAGAATCGCCTCTGTCTACTGGAGATGAGCCTCAGGGCTCAGCAACGGGAGACACAGGGATCCCCGGATTCTGTGTCTAGACTCGCAAGCTCTGGATTTGAATCCGGTTCTGCCATGTGTCGCTGGGTTACCTTGGGCACACCACTTTCCACACCCGGGCAAAATTTTCCCACCTATAAAATGGGCACAGCCCTGTCTTCCGTCCTCCAGGGGTCTCAGGACAATGAAGTGAGGCAGGTGCATACAACACCAGTGACTCTGGTTGTTGGCTGCGACCACGGAGAGACCAGGATGGCCGACCACCCTGGCTGGCCTGCAACACGGGCTTTCAGGCAAAAGCAGGAAAAGTCTCAGCCAGACACGCTGGTCCTCATCCCAGGACAGAAGGACTTGGGGAAGCTGACAGCTCAGAGAGGACTTTCTAGATGGAAGGGCTCTTAAATGTCTCCGGGCTTTGCAGCACCTCACGTCTGCGGCATTTCTCTCTAAACCCATGACCATGACCTTGGTCTAACCCGGATAAAGCCAGCAGATGATCATGGGTTAAGCACGGTTTGACACTAGCAGGGGTGGGGAGTGCCACTGAGGCTGTGTAAGGACGGCGACATCATTTGGTCTGGCCCTGCCAAGGCAAGCGCAGACAGGACTCAAAATTCAACAGTTTTACAGCAGGCTGATGTTTAAATTGATGATGCTGTGTGGCCTGGGAATGACATTACAAATACCCAAATGGCCATCGGTAGAAAAATAAATAAATAAAAGCTCCCAGCCCTGTACAGGATGCCAGGCCAGACCCCTCACAACTATCACAGCCCTGAAAGGCAAAGCAAGACTGAGAAAGTGCCCCAGACCACAGGACGCAGGCCAGGCGTGGCACTCAGGGCAGCCTGGAGCCCTGGGCTGGGTCCTGGGTGGGTGGCATCTGAATCAAATCAGAATGCAGGTGTGTGTGTGTGTGTGTTGGGGGGTCTCCTGGTTAAGTGCACAGAGCTCCTCTGCCTGGAAGGCTTCAGTCTGCAGACGGAACCTGACCCCAGGCAACCAGGAGCAGGACTGGCTCTGGAGTCTGTATTACACCTGGGGCCGCTCTCTGCTGCTATCCTGGGAACCTGACCACCACCAGCCTGGTTTGGGGCCCGCAGCCACGGCTCCGAAGCCCAGCTCTGGGGCCTGGGGTCTTACCGGGCTTCAGTTTCCTCTTCCGGACAGTGAGGGGACTGAACCGGCTGCATTCAGGAGAGACGTGCAGGGCACAGCTGGAAGATTCCAGCAAAGTGGAATAAAGGTAAGTTCATTGTGCCACAAAACATTTTGGGTTCATGCATATGGGGGCTCATCAGAGTTTGTGGAAAATGAATTTGATGAAAAACTATGATTTTTAAAAATTGTACTCAAATAAATACATTTTAATCCCATTTTCCCACAAAATTTTTTTTTAATTTTTACTTATTTGAAAGGCAGGGAGACAAGGCGGATCAACAAATAGCAAGAGACCTCCCCTATCTGCTGGTTCACTCCCCAAATACCTGTACCAGCCAGGGCTGGGAGAAGCTGACGCCAGGAACCCAGAACTCCACCCGGTTTTCCCATGTGGGAGGCGGGGGCCCAAGGACTGGAGTCATCACCTGCCGCCCTCCAGCGTGTGCGTCAGCAGGGAGCTGGACTGGAAGCAGAACTCGTACTTGAACTCAGGGACTGTGATGCAGGATCTTCATCCCAAACAGCATCTGACCCACTGTATCAAGCGCCTGTGCCACCCATGAGCCTATTTTTTAAAGATTTATTTAGTTGAAAGGCATGGTGATGGGGGGTGGAGAGAGAGAGAGAGAGAGGAGAGAGAGAGAGAGAATCTTCCATCTGCTGGTTCAATCCCAAATGGCCATAAGAGCTGGGCTGGGCCAGGCTGAAGCCAGGAGCCAGGAACTCCATCGGGTCTCCCGTGTGGTTGGCAGGGGCCCGACCACTTGGGCCATCTTCTGCTGCCTACCCAGGTACATTAGCTGAGAGCTGCATCAGAAGCAGAGCACCCTGGACTGTAGCCAGTGTTGCATATGGGATGCCGGCACAGCGAGCAGCAGCGGAACCTGCGGCACTGCAACAGCAGCCCGCCCAGCAACTCGTGTCCTCGTATTCACTCAGCGCAAAGGACTGTGCGGCCCTCATCAGAGATGAACGAGACCCGACTGTTGCCCCCAGGAGGCTGGGGGAGGGGATCTGGGAGAATCAGTCTAGAAATCTAAAGTACAAATCACCTGGGGCTCTGGGGATTTTCTGGAAAAACAAAGAAGTGGCCCCAGTCCTGTGGCATGGCAGAGGCCACACGGCCTAAGGCCAGAGGAGGAGGAGGAGGAGGAGGAGGAAGGCATGACAACCCTCTGAGAAGGCGACCTGGTGGCAAGTGGCTCCTCCAAGGCACATGTGTGCCTTTGAGAGGCACACTAAGTGCCACGCACGATGCTGCCAGCAGGGCCCCCTTGGGAGCAGCCCCCCTTACGCCTGCTCCAGCAGTCAGTCCTGGGACTTTCCTCCCCTGCAGGGTTCAGTCACGGCTCAGCATCAGCCACCCCAGCTCACGTCGCCTGCAGCAGGATGGCCCACGCACCTTGTGTCACCCGAGGTCCCAAGTTCCTGCCCTGGCTGCACCTCCCATCCACCTGCCACTGCTGCTCCTGTCCTCACAGCCAGGGATTGTGGGTTCGGACCCTGGCTCTGCCACTTGCCAGCAGTGTGGCTTTGGGTAAGTCATCCAGCTGCCCCCTCCTCTCAGACACTTCCCCAGTGAAATGGGGGAGGGGCCCACTCCTCCCTCCAGCGAGCCCTCCTGAGCACCTCCTATGATGACGTGCACAGAGGACCCAGGACACAGAGAGGACTCTGGACAGCAGCACCCAAGGGTCCAGCTCACACCTGGAGCAGCATCAATGGAATTCAAACAGCCAGTCCCGTGCCCGTACTTGGTCATGACAATGGCTGGTCTGTGCAGTGAGCTGCTGGGTGACCCTATCCTTGTGCAGAGTGGACTTGCACACACCTAGGCTACAGGGTAGAGCCTAGTGCACACAGGGCCAGAAAGACAAAGTGACACACCACTAAACCCAGCATGAGAGAGTGACACGCTCAGGAGGCACAGTCAGCACAAGATGTGCGAGGCTGCTGCCAGCCTAGAGTGCGTACTGTGTTACAGCACATGTCCTCATTGTAAGAAGAAAGCACACACTCAAAAGTACCCATAAAGGCACAATGTAAGGGACGGCAAGCCAGTAACTCTGTCATTCCCCATCAAGTACTGGAGCCCATACCTCACTGTGTGTTACACTCACACAACTGGGAGAGCAGCAGGTGTGGCTGCATCAGCACTGCCACAGAAATGTGAGGGACGCGTTGCACATCAGCAGTGGGGGGCACCCGCATCAGTAGGTGCCGGGAAGTCACCTCTGCGATCATCTCAAGGGACCACGGTCATGTATGCTGTCCTTGTCCTTTCTTGGGGGTGTCATGTGGCACATGACTATTTGTTTCATGTCTACCCATCATGATCTCACCACACACACACACACACACATGCACACATACTCATCCATATACACACACATACTCATACACACACTCATACATGCACACACACACCCATACATGTGCATACACATATACACACATGCACAAACAACATATATGTACACACATGCACTCACATGTGCACACACTCATCCATATAAACACTCATGCATGCACATACACACCACACAATGCACACACATGTGTACATGTGCACACACATGTGTGCACATACCCATCTGCACATACATGTACATGTGTGTACATGTGTGCACATACATCCACATGCACACACATATGCACATGCATACACACACAGGCACACCGCACTCAGCCATTCTGGCTCAGGAACTTGATCTGCCCAAGCCCTCAAGCCAGACACATCCTGCCTCTGCTGTGAAGAAGGCAACAGGACCCCTGGGCCCCTTCTAAACCCCTCCTCCTCACCTGCCCCTGCTGTGCGGCCCTCCCAGCCTCGCCAGTGAACGGCTGCAGGCCAGGTCATGGCCCCGCACAACAAGGGCCGAGAGCTCCCGCGGACACACACCTGGCTGTGCACTTTCTCCAGCTCCTCCTTGCTGACCGACGTCTTGCCATCCTCCATGGTCCCCAGAAGCAGCTGCACATCCGACAACAGTGCGTGCGTTCTCCTGAGGTCCCGCCGAAGGCGCTTCTCCACGTCAAAGTCTCGATGGCCGATCTGGAAGCCAAGGGGAGATCCGTGAGCGCAGGAGGCAAAAAGCAGCGGCCAGGGTCCCAGTGCGCCAGAGCCAGCTCCCTGGATCTGAATCCTGCCTCTCACACCGTGTGACCCTGGGCGAGAACCTTCTCTTCCCAAAAGTCTGCAAAACGGAACTGGCGCCAACCACATGGGGCTGTTGTGGAAATTAAAGCACATGTCAGGTACAAAGCCAGACACAGGGAACAGGCACAGCTGCGCGCCTCCCTGATGACTGTTTCTACCACCTTCACGGGGCCAACACCACTCTGCCCCATCTTCCGGGCCAGCGTCAGCGTCACTGGTACACCCCCGCCTCATCTCAACACAGCTTCTGCACCACAGGAGTCCCTCACCCGCTAGAAGTCAGCTCAGCCCTGGGCCGGGAAGTCATGGGACAGGGCGTGCGAGGGAATTTCTCGGGAGTAGTTAACACTGGTGGCCTAGGTGTTGTTTGGTGAGTCTATGAAAATTCGCAGAGTTGTATACATGGGACACGGTGTACTTCTCTGTGTGTCCAAGTTCATAGAAAAGGGAATTAAAACGTTTGCTTCTCTCTGTGTGTGTATTACATCGCAGCAAATAGGAACCGACTTCCCTTTGAAGACCTGAGTGAAGCGTTTCTGTCTCTGGAGTGCTTGTCTCCACTGACAGGCGGATGAGATCATTTTCTGCAGAGGGGCCTTGCCCAGAGGGGAGCACGTTCCTCCCCCCGCAATGCTGCATTTGCAGGGAGCAGTTTCTAAGTGAAACCCAAACATGATGCACCCTGGACAGGGCACCAGAAGCGTGGACAACCCCCAGTGGCCAGCGATGCAGGGACACAGGTTGAGGCAAAGCAGAAGAAATGCAGAATCACCCTGGGGCCCTGCCTGAGATCCCAGCAGCCCACAGGGTCCTCCAGAAACAGGTTTAAAGCACAGTGGGTTGAGGTGGGCATCATGGCACAGGAGGTTAAGTCACTGTTCAGGATGCCTGCATTCCACATCAGAGTGCTTGTTGAAGTCTCAGCTACTCGGCCGACATCTGATGCAGCTTCCCGCTATTGCAGCTGCAAGGCAGCAGATGCTCACCCAAGGATTTGGGTTCCTGCCACCCATGTGGGAGACTCAGATCTGCAGACTCAGACTGTAGCTGCCTTGCCAGCTACAGCCACAGCTGGCACAGGCATCTGGGGAATGGACCGCCAGATGGAAGATCTCCTCCGCTATCTTTCTGGCTCTGTCTTTTTCCTTTTCTCTCCCTGTCACTCTGCCTTTCAAGTAAAGAAATAATTAAAAAAAAAAAAAACATGGATTAGCATCCCCAGCAGACACTAACAGCCCCTTTCTCGGACACTTCAGAAGACCAAAGAAAAGAACACGGCACCATCCACCTGATGGCGATGTTTAAAGAAAGTGGGGTACAGGTGCCTCAACACGGAGACGTGGTTTTCACACACACGGGAGCCTGTGCCTTCATGCCAAATGCTAACCATTTCCAGGAATGTTCATAATGTTCCAGAATATTCTAGAAAGGACAAGGGACTGAGAATGAGGTGGCTCAGTCTTTAAATCCTGACTCAACCATTTGTTGGCTGCGCAAAGCTCAGCTGAATCACATTACCTCTCTGAACCTGAGTTTCTTCTGCTACAAAAGAGTTAAAAAAAATCCCTGTCCTCTGTGTTGAGATAAGACAAGGATCAGACGTGATAATGCATCACAAAGCTCTGTGTATGCTGTCAAGTGCTTTACAAATAGGAAGGATTATGAGTTTTGTCTGATGACCTAGAATGCCCCTTTAGATTTCATATGACTATTTCTTTACTGCTGACTTCGAATTCCTTGAGAAAATGAGTTGGTTCTTAGGATATAGCTTCTTTCCTCTCAGATGTACTGCCTTGGTAATTCTGAAATGCCGGTCTAAAACCTATATATCTATCGCACCTGCCGAACAGCTGAGGGCTGGGCTTTATGCCAGGTTCTTTGTCACACGTTTAACTTCTGGGACAATCTCTGCGAGACAGACATTTATTATTATTGCCTTTATGAAAGTAGCAATAGCTTTCATTCATTGACAGCTTTCTAGGAGTCCTATACTATGAGAACACTTAGTAACTTTTCATATACACTTACTCACAATGACTCTGTGTGTGGGGGGGGGGGTGCACAAGTAGGAATCCCATCTTCCAGATGATGAAACTGCACCTTACAGAAGGGAAAGAATTTGTCCCCAGATCATCCAGCTAGAAAGCGACCGAGTTGGGAGAGGAGCCCCACATTCCTGGCTGGAAAGAGGGGATTTTAGCAAAATGCACCACGGCACTGGGATGTTGGTTTCTTTCATTTTAGAAAAACTTCCGGGTGGGATGAAGACTGGGAAAAACTGGGTTTGGGTGGGATTGGGAAGTAGGATTCAGCTGCATCCAGCTAGGAGAGGTACAGGAAGAGGATCCCAAGGGCAAGGCACTAGATGAGCAAAGACAGGCGAGAAACAGCCTGGCACACGCACTTCTGGGTGGTTGACATGAAGGTGCAAGACCCTCGCTGTGAAAGCCACAGCGAGCAAAGTGACCCAGGATTTTTAGGTATATGCTGTCATGGGGCATTGAAGACACAGCTGATGAAACTGACAGAGATGAGCAAGTAATCTGTCCCTGCTCCTTCTGCTACTACGTGGCTCTGCTGAGATTGGAACCCAGGCAGTTCATGAGTGGCACCTAGGCTCTAATCACTGCACCACAGTACCTAGTGGAACTGCAACCTGACCCCAAAGCTCCTTTCTCCAGAAGCCAGATTTTCACTCTGACTACACTCATGCAGCGTGCTTTGCACAGTTCTTGGTTTTGCATCAGCTTCTGGGCGGCATGCATCCTGAAGCTCTTTAGTTTTTCCCCGTGGGACAAGTTGGCATCAGGGACATTCTTTGATGTGGGCGTTGACCATGCATGCAAGAATGGCTTGGATTCTACAACCATCACTGGCAGGGAGCCCCTGAAAATGCTGTCCTCTGCAGAGAGAGGACTCAAGCAGACTTCACAGCAAGATTCCGGACTAAGCCGTGCTCCCCTTCCTAATGAATGGCTACAGGAGAGGAGGGCAGCAAATAAAAACCACATTAGGTTAATGGGAAATAAATGTCTATGAACTCCCAATTTGCAGCACAAAGATTCAGACCTGGGTAAAGATGGTGAATAATTAACCAATAAATCTAAATGATGTTTAGTGTTGTTGTGGGAAGCTGTATTCAAATCTCAATTGTTCCATCATTTATCATAAAGGGGAACTGTTGAGAGCAATTGCTGTATGTCTGTTGTTCAAAGAACTCTCCAAGTTCTATGAGAATAAGATTTGCACCTGCTGTTAGGGTACTCACATCACTCTTTGAATGAGGATATGGAGGGCTGGAGAGGAAACGTGTGCTGCTGAGAATCACACACACAGACACACACACACACGCACACACAGTGGCAGAGCTGGACTGAGATGGTCCACAAAGATATGCTTCTCCCTAACTGGACCTTTAGCACTCGGATGCAGCGTGGTGCTATGGTTTTTTTTTTGTTGTTGTTGTTGTTTTTTTGTTGTTTTTTTTTTTTTTTTACAGGCAGAGTGGACAGTGAGAGAGAGAGAGAGAGAAAGGTCTTCCTTTTGCTGTTGGTTCACCCTCCAATGGCCGCCGCGGCCGGCGGGCTGTGGCCGGCGCACCACGCTGATCCGAAGCCAGGAGCCAGGTGCTTCTCCTGGTCTCCCATGGGGTGCAGGGCCCAAGCACCTGGGCCATCCTCCACTGCACTCCCGGGCCACAGCAGAGAGCTGGCCTGGAAGAGGGGCAACCAGGACAGAATCTGGCGCCCCAACCGGGACTAGAACCTGGTGTGCCAGCGCCGCAAGGCGGAGGATTAGCCTAGTGAGCTGCGGCACCGGCCATGTTTTTTCAATTATGGAGCATCAAATGATACAGGCTGTATTCCCAATCCATCCGGGGCATGGACCAGGCTATACGATCCTAGGCAATCTGCTCGACTGTTCTGAGCCTTAATGTTTTCATTTACAGGAAAGAAATAGTAAAACACATTCCACAGCATTGTTACCAAAACTGAAGTATGCTAGAGAAAAGGTACAATTAAAAATATCTTAAAATTCATGGATAACCATGAAAAGAGAAACACAGTTTGTAGCTTCCAAACCAGCAAAACCAAAGGGAATATAGGAAACATCATCAATGTATGGAGAGGGCAAAAAGCACAAGCCAACAAATCCTGAACCAGAGAACAGACAGAATTGCAAATCTATCAGTCATTACAACGATTATAAATGAATTAAATTATTTTATGAAGAGTTAGAGACTAAAATATGGGGTTGATGTTATCTAGCTGCTTAAAGACAGCACATGAGGCCGGCGCCACAGCTCACTAGGCTAATCCTCCACCTGTGGCGCTGGCACCCCGGATTCTAGTCCCGGTTGGGGCGCCAGATTCTGTCCCAGTTGCTCCTCTTCCAGTCCAGCTCTCTGCTGTGGCCCGGGAAGGCAGTGGAGGATGACCCAGGTCCTTGGGCCCTGCACTTGCATGGGAGACAAGGAGGAGGCACCTGGCTCCTGGCTTCGGATTGGCGCAGCACGCTGGCCACAACGCACTGGCCATAGCGGCCACTTGGGGGGTGAACCAACGGAAAAAGGAAGACCTTTCTCTTTCTCTCTCTCTCTCTCTCTCTCACTGTCTAACTCTGCCTGTCAAAAAATTAAATTAAATTAAATTAAATTTTAAAAGACAGCACATGAACTCCCTCTCTCACTCTCTCTCTCTCTCTCTCTCTCACACACACACACACACACTAAATTTGGAAAGACTGAAGATGAAGGAAGAGAAAATCTTGCAGATGAGCTAATCAAAATCAATCAAGCAAAATAAAATAAGGCAAAAATTGTGGATAAATGATAGACACCTACAGTGATCAAAGGGACAACCTATCAATGAAATAAAGCAATACAAAACTTAAAT